TTCCTGTAGCATGACACGGAAAAGCCAAGGTCATGGGTTCGATTCCCAGGGAATGCATAAACTGATCAAATGCATAAATGTATGCATACACCAGGGTTATTATCATAAGGGAAAATCAAAGTTATTTGAATTGGAATTGAATTTAAACATATTTATGCTTGTGCCCCCCTTTTATATTTATGCCCCCCTTCGTGTGTTCAGTGAACTGCCTTCAACTAACCGTTTTCTTTGGTTGCGTTATTTGTCCTCTTCCTCAGGTGATTGACCGAGCCGAGAAATTGGGATCGGCATTCCTACACAAAGGACACTCGAAAAACGGAAACCCCTACATCGGCATCTTCTCTCAGAACAGGCCAGAGGTCAGAGCTCAGAGATGTGGGCTTTATTACCCAGATTAATAGTAGAAAGAGATTAGTATAATCAACCAAAACTCAAAATATTATGTTATCAGAACAAAATTAGTGAATCTAAGTTGATTTGACTAAAGAAAAAAAAAACAGTGTGTTTTTTACAGTGTGTTTAGATTTTTACCAGATTTAAATCAATTATGTAAATTATAAATTATAAATATGATGTAAATTCATATTTATATATTTATATATTTAATGATCTTAAATTATAAAAACTTATTCAAAGGTCAAGTGTGTATTTTAAAAAAATATATAAAGTCAATCAGGTAGCGTCAGTTTTTGAGTATTTGTCTGACCAATGACAGAAATAAGTTTAAAAAACCTGTTTATTATTTATTGAATTATTTTAACTTTATTTAAAAAAAACCTGTTTATTATTTATTGAATTATTTAAACTTTATTTAAAAAAACCTGTTTTGTTATTTATTGAAATATTTAAACTTTATTTTAAAAAACCTGTTTATTATTTATTGAATTATTTAAACTTTATTTTAAAAAACCTGTTTATTATTTATTGAATTATTTAAACTTTATTTAAAAAAAACTGTTTATTATTTATTGAATTATTTAAACTGTATTTAAAAAAACCTGTTTATTATTTATTGAATTATTTAAACTTTATTTTAAAAAACCTGTTTATTATTTATTGAATTATTTAAACTGTATTTAAAAAACCTGTTTATTATTTATTGAGTTATTTAAACTTTATTTAAAAAAAACCTGTTTATTATTTATTGAATTATTTAAACTTTATTTAAAAAAAACTGTTTATTATTTATTGAATTATTTAAACTTAAAATGATTTTAAACTTTTTTACACACACACACACACACACACACACACACACACACACACACACACACACACACACACACACACACACACACACACACACACACACACACACACACATATATATTATTTTTCTTCACTTAATTAATTATTCTGTTTGGTGATGCTAATGGTGCAAAAATTACACACTTCACCTTTAAAGGATAAAAATTAATCTTAAATTGAAATTGAAATGACAATATTAAAAAGTCCTGCCTTGAGTTTCTGCTTAATTTAGTATTCTGCATGTGTGACCAGCCGATTGCACTGAAAACATCTGTGTGTCGTCTCTCCTACAACACTCTTCTCATGGATTGTGCCGTTCATCTTCTGCCTGTTTAGAGATTGTGAATATTTTGTGTCTAATGTCATAAATCTTCCCCAGTGGACGATCTCAGAGCTGGCGTGCTACACATACTCCCTGATATCAGTTCCTCTGTACGACACCTTGGGCACAGACGCCATAAGCTACGTCCTCGACAAAAGTACGTCCATTTCTCATGCAGTTTGATCTTGAAATGGAGGTTTGTCTATTTATCAGTCATTGATTTAGTATGCATATGCATGTGTGTGTGTGCTTTGCAGCCTGTATCTCTACAGTGGTGTGTGACGTACCCGAGAAGGCCAGGCTGCTGTTGGACTGTGTTTCCGGAAAACAGCACTCGCTCAAAACCCTGATCCTCATCCAGGACTTCGAGGCTGATCTGGTGAGCCGAGGACAGCAGTGCGGCATCGACATCATCAGCCTGAGAGACGCAGAGGTGAATAAACCACAGATTGTCTGCTCAAATCTTTGCATAACCCCACTGAGCGAGATCGATGTGTGTGTTTGCTCGTCTTGATCGCTCGCTTGCTCCCAGAACGCAGTGACATTTAAACGGCTATTCATAGAAATTCCTCGAAACGACGTAACTTATAAATTAGAATATCATGCAAAAGTTCAGTAATTCAACTTAAAAGGGGAAACTAATATATTATAGAGACTCATTACATGCAAAGTGAGATATTTCAAGCCTTTATTTGTTATCATTTAGATGATTATGAAATATGGCTTATGAAAACCCCAAAGTGAAAAGGTTTCCATAAGCTGTAATCCATAATCCATAATCATCAAAATCATAACAAATAAAGGCTTGAAATATCTCACTTTGCATGCAATGAGTCTATATAATATATTAGTTTCACCTTTTAAGTTGAATTACTGAAATAAAAGAACTTTTGCACGATATTCTAATTTTTCGAGTTTCACCTGTATATAAAAAAAGAACCAGGTGTTTTTCAATCGGTTTCAATCTACCTATTTTTATTCAAATTTTGGGATATTGCATAAAAAGGCCAAATTGTGCATGAAAACGTGTGAGCTCAGTTTAGGCTCATGATTATTTTTTATCCGATAAGAAGACATGCATTAACTACGATAGAAACACATTTCACCGATGCACAACAACACACTCCGGTGACTCAGCAGAGGCTGTGATTGGATAACTGGACTAACCAGCGGACCAATCGCATCGCAGCATCTCAAATGTTGTTTTGGTGTTTCTGAAACGCCTGAGCCAAAGTCTGTCATCAGAATGATTTGGTTTAATTCCCTTCAGAAGCGTCTCACATGACTTTGTTCACCAGCATCCGAACACAAGAGAACATGACAGTGTTTACTGAGACGAACTCATTTATGACGGAGGAAAGAAGAGCCACAGTTTCTTCCCCGATTCCAGCAACGGCCATTTTTACTACAGATATTTTGTGCAAATTTCCCAGGAATTGCCGATTTTGTTCTCTAGATGTTTTATGCCATATTCCAAAAGTTAAATTCGCAACTTTGGATGAAAGCATGGCTGCTGAGGGATTTGCATGATTGATTATCATATGCATGATTGTCTTATTCTTGTGCTATAACATTTATGCATGGCACTTCAAAGGAATATCATATAACAAAAATCCACAGTATTTCTATGATGATGTCTAAAACCACATTTTGGTTTGTTTTTTTGTTAGTGTTTCAGGAATATTTTAATGAATGTTAGCCATGATTAAATGGCAGAACATTTCACACTGGTCTGATATTTGTTCATGTGTCTGACACCGCAGTTTTAAGCAAGTTTTATTCTTTCTTTCAATAGTAGTTGCTTGTACTTCCTGGAAAGTTTTCCTTAAACCAGGATTTCCCTTTTTTTTAATTCAAAACCCTTTTGATTTAAAATATTTACTTGAGATTTTAAGTTAGTATTTCAATAATTTAACAAAAGACTTGCTTGTTCATGGTTTTCTGATACTGGTTAATAGTCCAAAAAAATGTATATATATATATAATATATATATATATATATATATATATATATATTTGTTTTTTTAATTATATTTATATATACATATAATTTATATATTATATTTATTTTTATATATATATATATATATATATATATATATATATTGTGTATATATTAATTAATTAATTTATTATATATTTTTTAATATATTATTTATATATATATATATATATATATATTCGGTTTTTTTAATTATATTAATGTATACATATAATTTATATATTATATATTTTTTAAAGTATATATATATATATATATATATATATATAGTGTATATATTACTTTATTTTATTTTTTTATATATTATATATATATATATATATATTCTTTTTTAATTATATTAATATATACATATAATTTATATATTGTATATTTTTTTAAATATATATATATATATATATACATATTTAGTTAGTTTTATTTTTATTGTATTTAGTTTATTATTATTATTATTTATTTTAAATTATTATTATTTTTATTATTATTATTATTTAATTATTAGCTTTTTATATATCACCTTAACCCGCCTGCAGTTTGGGAAATCCTGATTTACTCTGTTCATTAGTCAGAGTTGTGATGAGCCTCTTCAGTTTTATGTCTCCCTGAACGAGACGAGTTCGCTGTGCTTGTGTGTGTGTGTGTGTGTGTGTGTGTGTGTGTTGTCAGTCTGTGTTTCCTCAGTGTTCACCGCAAACACAAACCTCACTCGCGTCTGCAGCTTCTTCCTGTTTCGTTGAACTTCCTCCTCCGTCTCCTTCATTTATTTAAATGTTTCTCTTCCACTTACAGAATATCGGCCAGACTCACCGACAGCGTCCTGCGGTCAGTGCCATAGTTTCTCTTTCAGTTAGTGTATATTGCTTTTTTAAATTTTCCTATATAATTCTCTGTATTAATTGGATCCTCTCTGTATATACACTGTGTTTACAGCCTCCTCAGCCTGATGATCTGGCCATTATTTGTTTTACAAGTGGAACCACAGGTATGATGACATTTGCATCATACGTTTGTTACTTGATTCTGATTGGCCAGTTGTGGGATTTCATTTTTCGAGCTAAACTGTATCCACCTTATTCCTGACGAGTTTACTGCGTTTTGAATTATGAGTGGCACTTCCGGTTTTGGGAACTTCCATTCGAAAAAGGCTGAAACGAATCATTTCAAATCATAAGGTTGCCCTACAAATAAAGCTGATCCGTCCATTTTCCTTCATAATTTATTTTCGGACATCATGAGAATAACGTTATACTTGGTATTTTAACGTGACATGTTATAACAAGAATATCTACGGGAAGAGCTCTTTTCAGTCGCTGTATCTTTTCCTCATGATGATTTTTATTTTTTCCTTTGCAATCTGCTGTAAAAGTATGAAACAGGGCAACATATACGGCACATCTGTGATCTGTTCTCCCGAATTTTATTAACGATATTCCATTAATAATTCACTGGATGCACGAAGAATCTCTCGTTATTCTCCTCAAATCCTCACGTCTCTTTCCAGGTTTGTTTTCACAGGTAAATGCAATTTATAATCTGTCAAAATGACGGAAATCACTTTGATAAAGTGTCACGTAATGCTGAAGTTAATGAACATTTTTGATTAAGGCTTGTTATACAATACAGATATATATATATTTGCCTACTACAGTGATATTTAACCAAAGACTTGCGCGTTTAGGGCTACTTCTGGTCTGTTGAAAGGGCCTTGTTGATTCTTTTAAACTTTTAAATTTCATTTTAATGTTCGATGGTTGAAGGGTGAGTCGATTAATGTCATCTCATTATGACACTTTTTTAACGTATTGCGTTCATAGAGCGAGCCTTTCACTGATTGTTTACAGCTTACACCCATAATTCGTGCAAAGCATCATGGGGCGTAGGAATAAGGTGGATGATTATTTGTTGATTCCACACTGTTTTTTCTCACATCATAAAACCACATGTGATTTGAATGCCACGATGGACACAACCTCTCTCGTTTGGACTGTGTTTCTCCCAGGAAACCCTAAAGGGGCGATGCTCACCCACAAGAACATCATGTCCAACACTGCTGCCTTCCTCCGGGTCACACAGGTACTGTCCCACACAACAGCCCTGCAAGCACACAATGCAAGAGAGTTTAAAGTGTAAATTGCAGGTTACATTTTTCACAAAGATAATGCAATGTGCTTACTAAACATAAAGATAAGAACCGCCCACAATTGTTTTTTTTATGTTTTTTTTATACCAAAATGCTGCATATAATATGAAAAGTTGGTACGTTTTACAGTGGTTTTAAGCACGCCCCCTCCCTTCCACTAGGCTGGGTGCGTGACGTCATAAAAGGGACTCCAAGCTTTCACTGTCTATGCCTGGTCTAAGCTCCAAGCCTAGAGTTACCGTTAGTACGGCAAGTAGGCTAGCAGTTATATAGGAGACCTAGCTAGCAAAAATGGTTAACTATTGTGTTTGTGCGGGATGTACGAGAGGCTCCACAAGTTCCCCAAGGACAAACGACTGATTCGTGCCTGTAAGTGTTAGCATACCCGGCCCGACACATTAAAGCTGCAGTCGGCAACATTTTTTTGATCTTATTCAGTGAAATCGACACTATAATCCGACAGAACAACGTAAATAAAGTGGTTTTAGAAAAAAAACCAGAGCTTCTAACTCCACCTGGAGCGTGTTATTTGTTTTGCAAAAATCCACAGCTCCCGCAAAAATAAGCTCATTTAGAGTATAAATGACGTTAGCAATTGCAATCTATCGGTAGATTAGCCAGGACAGCACACCTCTAAATACTCCATGGTGTTGATGGATGCTGATGAGACGGGCGCGTTCACAGATAACCTGGTGCACACACACTGACGAGCATGAACTCGGTGGGAGGGTATCCGTTGATAGTGGGGGAGGGGCATGAGAGTTGTAAACATTCAAAATTTTGCCTAAGTCCACTCAATCTGCCAGACTTGCCGACTGCAGCTTTAACTGTAATTATGAGTCCCGATTTAAACCCGACCATTTTTTAATATGTGGGTCATTATTATAACTATGTTAAATTAACATAAAGCAACACATATGTCTGTGATTGGCTACATCGCTCAACGCTGCAAACATGTTATGAATAGAAACTCTGGCCTGTAAATCGTTTCTATTTTGTTTTAGTTGTTCTTGTTGCTTTTTTGCAACAGATGAATAAAAATGTGTTAGTTTTTATGTTTTATTCATAGATATTTCTAGGTTGCGGGAGTCCCGCGAATCGTTTTATTCTCCCTGAACCGGCACACACAGAGTGAGTGCATTACCGCCCGCGCTCCCTCTTATGACGTCATCACCCAGTTACTGTAGAAAACATGCTACCTTTGAAGAAACCCCAATAAATGTTATTTTAACGCATTTTAAGACAGAAATTTTTAAATATATACATATTGAGCACTTTAATTTACACATTAATTGGTTGTGGTGGTTAACTATGGAAGTAAAATAATGCCAAATGTTTTTGAAACAAAAAGCCTGTTGAATTGCACTACTTGAAAAAAATATGCATTGCATTAACCCTGCTTGTATTTTAATGCATTGTATTTTTAGGGCTTGCATTTTTATAGGCTGAAATTTAGCATGGTTGAATATTTAAGCTGTGAATATTTCAAATCAAATCATTTCAAACACATTTTCATTAGTAAAATTTCAATAATCCATATTCACCTTTCATATTTCATTTCCCAAATATTCAAACTGATTAAAAATACAGGATTCCCCTGCTGGACATATAAAACGCTTAACGTAGCTTAATGGACATAAAAGACCAAACTCGCAGGCTAGCAGATGGACTCAGAATATGAATTTAACGCAAAGTTTAATGCTGAGCGTTTCCCAGTGATATACTGGCATAAATTTGGTTTGACATTGGACATTCACACATTTAGGGACCGTCTCTAAAGTTACATACGACATTGGTATTAGGGCTGGGCGATATGGCTGAAAACTGTATCACGATATCAGTGTTTCATATCGGTCGATATCGATAATTATTGATTTTTTTATGACCCATTTAAAATAAGGACCAGGAGAAAAAATATATTACATTTAAACATTTTTATTTTAAACTTAACCTTCCTCTGATTACAATCCCAAGACAGAAATGTCAACACAACCATGGAAAACTCAAATAATTAAAATGTAAACATAAGTCTAAATTCACAATCAGACCTGCAAACTCCTCAGAGTAAAAAAGGTGACAGTGGTGCGGCGGGACGTGGGTGGTGGGGGTTTGTGATCGTACGTGCCCCCTGCTTGATTTTTTTTTTTGAGACATCACGGTTCGGTACGATTTCGGTACAATGGAGTGAAAAGCAAAACAGAAATATAGAAGGCATTTTTGTAAATGTCTTAAGCCTTGTATTTTTTAAATAAGTTTTATTAATAAAGGCATAGAACCAGTTTATTTATAGTGCACTGATAATAGTTTTATATAATTGGTTTATTAATTAAACTAATAAAAAGATAGATATGAGATATGTTTGGTAATTGTACCTGAATGAATTTAAAATTAATTTGCTATATTTCAGATCAATATATTTGTTTTCCTTAATTTTAATTAACCCTAACTTTATTCTCATCAGAATTATAAATAATTGATTTCCGTATAAAATAATCTACCAACACATTTCACTTTCTTTTTTAATCAATGTGTAACTTAAAAATAAACATATAGTGCTCTGTTTTGAGGACAAGAAATGAAAACCAATGCGATATGATGAATGTCCAAAAGATGGAACACACAGACTGTTTTAAAAAAGGGTTGGATAAATATGTTTTGCTTTTAAAACGGTGTGTGACAGTTGTAGGTTACAGTTTGACAAGAAATACAGTGTGACAAAAGCACAATGTTGTGTTTTATTGCGAGTATAGGCCTACACAAATATAAGTAAACACTTTGCAGACTGAATGATGTCCTGTATTAACAAAATGACGGAGTATGTTTTTATGTCTCCACTGTTCGATCGCGCCCGCGTGTCTCTCTCTCTCGCGCCCGTGCCTACTCTCTCTCTCTCTCTCTCTCGCGCGCGCGCGCCGCACACACACACACACACTCCAGCATTGCAATCTTGACATCGCAGCCTGTTCATTATGCTGTGTTCACATCAAACGCGAATAGAGCGAATTATCCAATAATGTTTCGCAATTCTAGCCTGCATGGCATGCAGATGAAGGACACTCATTTTCTGCTTATCAATCGCCGGTTACTGAAGAAGAACCCAGCAGCACGAGACAACGATGGCGCAACCAAACTGACACGTTACATGATTGCCTGAGCGTGTCACTCCCTACGTTGCTAGGTTACCAGAGAGCGAGTGCCTTGATAATGCAACCAAGCTTCGCAACCTGTGGTTTCTTCCGACGAAGAAAAAAAATATCGAACGTTTTATCAAACACATTTTTTATTGATATCGATCACGTGTCTATCGCGATACATATCGTTATCGTTTTATCGCCCAGCCCTAATTGGTATACACGTTTCTAACTTAAATACCATTTGAAAAGAACGACTTACAGTCATAAAACCAACTAAAGTGTTCACGTAGGTGTCAGGCTCAGGCATAATGCGCAATTTATTCAAATAGATTGAAGTTTGCTATTGAAGTTAGAAACGTTTAGGCCTATAGGACTTGTTACTTTAGAGACGGTCCCTAAATGTGCGAATGTCAACCCAATTTTACATTTAGTCTTTTAGCTGGCACTTTTATCCAAAGCGACTTACAGTTAAACTAACAATATAGAACAACAATATGAAAGTGCTACTTCCCAGTTTAATCTAATGCAGTACATGTACAATACATACTTTCCAAATAAGGTGCGAGTTTGGTCTTTTATATCACTGTAGTCCATTAAGCTACGTTAAGCGCTTTGTCCTGACGGAATTCGGGGAATCTTTGAGGATGATGATGTATTGAGGGAAACAGATTATAATCCCGTTCACTGTAGAAAAGGCTGATAACATAAGGCTACACAGGGAAAGTAACAATGAATGAAACATAAAAACAGCTTTTGTGCCTTTATCATCTTTTCCGCATATATACTGACCCAGATAATCGTCACAAAAAACATAATGCATGCTGAGTTTTTATGAATGAATGGCTTGCGCTAACTGTTGCTCTGGTCTTCGTCAACAACACGCGCTTGCACCCCCTGCTGGTGAGGTCGACTAACAGCAGATGGAGATTATGCTCGGTAATCTACTGCTTTTCCTGCAGCTCCTGGATGTCAACGTTGAATTTACTGTCGAATTTGAACCACTGAATTTGTGGAAGCGAATTTGCAAAGCGAAATAAAATGGACCGAAAACCACCTGTTGAATATTATAGGTTGTATTTTTAATCAGTTTGAATATTTGGGAAATGAAATATGAAAGGTGAATATGGATTATTGAAATTTTACTAATGAAAATGTGTTTGAAATGATTTGATTTGAAATATTCACAGCTTAAATATTCAACCATGCTAAATTTCAGCCTATAAAAATGCAAGCCCTAAAAATAAATGCATACAAATACAAGCAGGGTTAATGCAATGCATATTTTTTTCAATTAGTGCAATTCAACAGGCTTTTTATTTCAAAAACATTTGGCATTATTTTACTTCCATAGTTAACCTTCAATTTACACTTTAAAGGGGACCATGCTCCTTTTCACAAGATGTAAAACAATTGTTTTAAAACAAGTGCTTGGACTGTTGTTATCACCTTTTGGCTACAGACTTAAACCAAAAAGTTATCATGAAGTTCCTAAACTAAAACTAAAACCATAAAAAAAAAAAAAAATGTTTGCTTGAAATAAAATAAATGTTAACTGAGATATATAAATTAAAATAAAATTAATATATAAATTAAAATAAAAAGTTGATATACTGAAATAAAAATGAATAAAAACTATATATATATAAAATAAAATAAAAACTTTAAAAAAACTCGCAACAAAATTACTAAAACTTTAACTACATTTAAAATGAAAAATATATTTAAAAATATGCAAATAAAAACTAATTCAAAATATTATTAAAAACTATAATATTGTCTCAACTAGTAAGTATTTTCATGACAGTTAAGAACATTTTATTCACACTTCTCATAAAAAATAATGCTATGTTATTAACATTGCATATTATTTGTTGAATTACATTATTATAATTATTATATTATATTATTATAATGTAATCATTTATTTGATAGGTAACTCTTCCCCGCCAGCGTTTTTGAAGAAAGTTTTCAAAAAATTTTTAATAAATGGGCCCCAGAATATTTTGTTGCATAAATATCTGAACATGCAATATATCAAAACTTTAAAAATAAAATAAATAAAAAAGCATTCTTCATGCATTCTTTTTTTAATCAACACTTGAATGTGGGTACGTTTCTTAATTTTCATAACTTTCATTGATTTTTATGCTGTTTAATATTGATGATCGTGTTATTTTACATATGCAATCTGCTTGCATATGCTATGGCTTGTTTCTTCTTCACCTGTGTTTGGATCAGGAAGTTCAGTAGCCTTTCAGCAGAGGTGTAATAGCGCCCCCTACCGTATAACAGGGACAATTCTGTCAAATTCCCTCAATGGCAGGGAAAGAGTTAAAGGTGAAACTCGAAAAATTAGAATATCGTGCAAAAGTTCATTTATTTCAGTAATTCAACTTAAAAGGTGAAAATAATATATTATATAGACTCATTACATGCAAAGTGAGATATTTCAAGCCTTTATTTGTTATAATTTTGATGATTATGGATTACAGATATGAAAACCTTTTCACAATATTCTAATTTTGAATTTGGGGTTTTCATAAGCTGTAAGCCATAATCATCACAATTATAACAAATAAAGGCTTGAAATATCTCACTTTGCATGTGATGAGTCTATATAATATATTAGTTTCACTTTTAAGTTGAATTACTGAAATAATGAACTTTTGCACGATATTCAAATTTTTCGAGTTTCACCTGTAAATGCACGAAGCAAGAAGTGATCCTCCCGAGTGACTGGACCTGTGATACGTTACCGTTGGATAAAACATCACTTTTGTCTTCCAGTTCGCCTGTCCCATCAGCCCTCAGGACGTGCACATCTCCTACCTGCCGCTGGCACACATGTTCGAGAGAGTCGTACAGGCAAGTTCAGGACGCTTTTCTTGTTTTTTTTTTATTTTTTGTGATTGTTGCGGGCAAAAATCCTTGATTATGCGGCCCGTTTTCTTTAAAAATGCAATGGAATATGCAGGATATTTATGCAATTTTATGCGATGAAATTGCGAAAACTGTGGTTTGATGAAAAAGAGAAAAAAAAGTGATTCCCCAACACCCTGTTCTCACCAGGCTCCTACCTTACTGTAAAGAGTCATTTCTTATTACTTCCTATTAATATAATATATAAACAAAACCCCAATTGGTGATCATATTTAACATTGATCAATAAGTGGGAGAGTCTTCATCTTCTCAAAATATGTAATTAATGGGTTGCCACTTGCCAAGTCTTATAAAAATTTTGGACAGATCCTATCATTAAATAGGCTATTTCATTTTCTCTAATTGTAAGTATGATACTAGATCACATGACCACACTGAGGCTTTAGGCGGGTTTGTGGACTTCCACTCCAATAATATTCTTCTTCTGGCTAATAATGTGGCAAAAGCAATAATTTTTTTTTTTTTTTTTTGTCAATGATACTCCATGTTCTGGTACTCCAAAAACACTGGGTTTTATATCCAAGCTAAAGGCCTCATTTAATGTTTTAAATATGAATGTCCTATAGTTACTCAGCTTTTCACAAGCCCAAAACCAGCCCTTTCAGAAAAACATGGAGTTTTTTTGTGATTGTTGCAGGCAAAAATCCTTGATTATGCATAATGCGGCCCGTTTTCTTTAAAAAAGCGATGGAATATGCGGGATATTTATGCAATTTTATGCGATGAAATTGCGGGAACTTGCAAAAACTGTGGTTTGATGAAAAAGAGAAAAAAAAGTGATTCCCCAACACCCTGTTCTCACTAGGCTCCTACCTTAATGTAAAGAGTCATTTCTTATTACTTCCTATGATAAGCAAGCATATACATCACAGAAAGTGTTTATTAGACCTTAATAAACACATCAAACTTACAAAACATTGACGAGTCAAACAAGTTCTGTAGCTTTACAAAAGTAATCTGCTACAACTTCTGTAAAAATGAATAAATAAAATATAAAAAATAAAGTGTGCTCCTGTTTTACTGCTTTTCAATGATGTTCACGTCGCGTAATTACGTCACTTCATAACGTTCCCATGGCAACAGGGGGAAGCGGCTGCTCTCGTGTGAAGCAAACGCAATATTTTTCAACTTTCTGCTATGATATATGTGACTTTTTTTGCGACGAAAATGTGAGGATTATGAAATCATGCAAGCCCCGCATATTTTGCACGGAAATCGGCAATTAATGCGGCGAAAGTGCGGCGTATTTGAAAAAATGGCCCCGCATAAATATGCGTACTTTGGCTGATTATGCACTGAATCATGCGATCGCATAACCGCGTTTTTCCAGGGTGGCCGCGGGTCCTTAAAAAGTCTTCAAATGTCTTAAATAAAGTTTTCCTATTAAAAGGCCTTAAAAAGTCTTAAAATGTCTTAAATAAAGTTTTCCTATTAAAAGGCCTTAAAATGTCTTAAATATAGTTTTCCTATTAAAAGGCCTTAAAACGTCTTAAAGTTTTCCTATTAAAAGGCCTTAAAACGTCTTAAAATGTCTTAAATAAAGATTTCCTATTAAAAGGCCTTAAAACGTCTTAATAGGAAAACTTTATTTAAGACATTTTAAGACGTTTTAAGGCCTTTTAATAGGAAAACTATATTTAAGACATTTTAAGGCCTTTTAATAGGAAAACTTTAAGACGTTTTAAGATGTTTTAAGGCCTTTTAATAGGAAAACTTTATTTAAGACATTTTAAAAGGCCTTAAAAAGTCTTAAAATGTCTTAAAGTTTTCCTATTAAAAGGCCTTAAAATGTCTTAAATATAGTTTTCCTATTAAAAGGCCTTAAAACGTCTTAAAATGTCTTAAATAAAGTTTTCCTATTAAAAGGCCTTAAAACGTCTTAAAGTTTTCCTATTAAAAGGCCTTAAAACGTCTTAAAATGTCTTAAATAAAGTTTTCCTATTAAAAGGCCTTAAAACGTCTTAAAGTTTTCCTATTAAAAGGCCTTAAAATGTCTTAAATAAAGTTTTCCTATTAAAAGGCCTTAAAACGTCTTAAAATGTCTTAAATAAAGTTTTCCTATTAAAAGGCCTTAAAACGTCTTAAAGGGTTAGTTCACCCAAAAATGAAAATTAAGTCATTAATTACTCACCCCCATGCTGTACCAACCCCGTAAGACCTTCGTTCATCTTCGGAACACAAATGAAGATATTTTTGATTAAATCTGAGAGCTGGATCACTGCTACATAGGCTGCCAAAGGGAATGATACTTGACGGCCCAGAAAGTCATTAAAGAAAATGTTTAAATATTTCATGTGCCTACAGTGGCTCCACTATAAGTTTATCAAGCGACGAGAATACTTTTTGTGCGAAAAAAAAACAAAAATAACGACTTTATTCGACTATTCCATTGCTTCCTTGTGGGCCTGAGACGAGAGTTCAAGAGATTTCCAGGACGCATGCGCGAGAACTGACATTCTTCTTCTACTACTATGTACATGTCAATATTTCAATATTTCTGGTCACATACCCGCTAATATTTCTCCAGTCTGACGAACCCAATGTCCGTCAAATAACCGGCGGAGCGTCGAATCCCGAGAATGATTCTGATTTTATTACATAAACAGCGATTGATAATGATAATGTATTTCTGGTAGCGCTGTTGAGGCTCGCCTGTCTCTGAGAGAGAGTTTATAGTGATTAATCAAAACAAACGAGCATAACAGCACACATAAACTCACAGAAGAAACACTGAGGTAAAAAGTCAAAATGTTGAGTTTTTTATTTATAACATATGATATAGTTGAGTAACATAACATGACGGGAGCTATTTTGCTGAATATTCTCACGATTGCAAATGTAACATTGATTTTAGTTCAATAAACAAGTAGTTAATATTAATTAAGGTTAAGCATTAAATATTACATATAATGTGTATTTCCATCACAGGTTTGGTCTTAAATTTCATTCAAAGTGGCATTAGAAAGTCTTAAATGTAACTTGTATCTGTAGACACCCTGTTTTCTGGAGGGACTGGTTTTCAGTAAACGCATTATTTATGATTTTGCATTGCTTGTGACACGTTGCTGTTCCCCAGGGAGTGATTCTGGTGCACGGCGCTCGCATCGGATACTTCCAGGGTGACATCCGCTTTCTGATGGACGACCTCACGACCCTGAAGCCCACCGTGTTCCCCGTGGTTCCTCGTCTGCTGAACCGCATGTTCGACAGGGTGAGCACACACACACACACACATGCAGTCCTAGTGATCTTGTTCCAATCAGTCGTCCCCAGCGCGCATACGACACAAGGGAAAAACATTTAATTACTGGCAAAAAACGACAACTAAATGTACGAGCCTGAGTGTAGTTTGCAGATTTGGAACGAGTTTGAGGAAAATTTAAAATTGTTGCAATCTTTCTCCATTTTAAGGAATGATTGCTTATAACATATGATTGTTGAACATTTCGAAATTGTTATACTTGTGCTGGGATCGTCTGTTTGTTGTAGTGTTTGTTTTTTGTCTATTTTGAGTCTATGGTATATTGAGTTTTTGGTTTGTATATTATATGTTGTATGTTTATGTTATCGGGCCCCTCCTAAAAGCTTTTAGTAGCTTCTTTGGGGTTCCCCAGTTCACACGACCTATATATGACCAGTGTTTCTTCTGAAATTGTGTGTAAATGATATAATGATGACGTGTGAAATAAAACGAAACGAAACGATGATCAGAGACTGCGGTAAACCTGGAAACAGGGTTATAGTTTTGCATATTTATACTGATTTTCATATTTTCTTGCCCAAAGCATGACCAATGTGTGTAAAGCAGAGAGGGGAAAAACTGCTGCTTTTTCAAATACATTTAAAGTGCATAAATATAATTAAAATGTATTTTACACACTTAAAGCAATATCGAATATCTCATTATTCAACCAGTTATTGCATTTTTCTTCAATATCGTGCAGCCCTAATTAAAATAATAACAAAAATAATTATTTATTATTATTTCATATTATTATTATTATTATTATTAAAATAACTATAAAATACATTATTATTTTAAAATATAGATTATTATGATTAAATACTTATTTTATTTTACAATATAATAGTATTATTACAATAGTAATATATTTATTTATTGATTTGTTTAATTTTATAATTAAAACAATAAAAATACTAAAATAAAAATATTATTTTGATTAATAAAAATAATAATGTATTATAACTATAATTATTATATTATAATTAAAATAATAATAAAATATATAATTATTACTATCAAATATGTATAATTATTATTATGATTGTATTTATTATTAATGATGAATTTTTATTTTACAATAGTATTACAATAGTAATATATTTCTTTATTGATTTAATTTATAATAATGATTTATTATGATTATGCATTTTTATTTTACAGTGCAATAATATTATTACAATAGTAATATATTTCTTTATTGATGCGTTTAATTTATTATCATTAAAATAAGTAAATACAAATATTATTTTTGAATAATAATAATTATATACTACATTTATTATTTTACGGTACAAGAGTATTATTACAATAGTAATATATTTCTTTATTGATTTAATTTATAATAATGATTTATTATAATTATGACTACGCATTTTTATTTTACAGTGCAATAATATTATTACAATAGTAATATATTTCTTTATTGATGTGTTTAATTTCTTATCATTAAAATAAGTAAATTCAAATATTATTTTGAATAATAATAATTAAATACAACATTTATTATTTTACGGTACAATAATAGTAATATATTTCTTTATTGATTTACTTAATCATAATTATAATAAATCATTATTATAATGCTTTTTTATTTTACAGTGCAATAATATTATTACAATAGTAATATATTTCTTTATTGATTTAATTTATAATAATGATTTATTATAATTATGACTACGCATTTTTATTTTACAGTGCAATAATATTATTACAATAGTAATATATTTCTTTATTGATGCGTTTAATTTCTTATCATTAAAATAAGTAAATACAAATATTATTTTGAATAATAATAATTAAATACTACATTTATTATTTTACGGTACAATAGTATTATTACAATAGTAATATATTCCTTTATTGATGCGTTTAATTTCTTATCATTAAAATAAGTAAATTCAAATATTATTTTGAATAATAATAATAATTAAATACTACATTTATTATTTTACGGTATAATAATAGTAATATATTTCTTTATTGATTTAATTAATCATAATTATAATAAATCATTATTATAATGCATTTTTATTTTACAGTGCAATAATATTATTACAATAGTAATATATTTCTTTATTGATACGTTTAATTTCTTATCATTAAAATAAGTAAATAAAAATATCATTTTGAATTAATAATAATTAAATACTAAATGTATTATTTTACAGTACAATAGTACTATTTCTTTATTGATTTGTTTACTTTTTGTAATTAAAATGACAATAAAATAGTAATTTTGTCCTGAGGAGAATATGTCCTATCCATTCACGCCGTCTCCCCGTGTGACCCGTGTGTGTGTGTGTGTGTGTGTCGTCCCGCAGATCTACGGTCAGGCCAACAGTGCCCTGAAGAGACGCGTGCTGGACTTCGCTTTCAGGAGGAAAGAGGCCGAGATGTTGAGAGGAATCATGAGGAGAGACAGTGTGTGGGACAAGATCATCTTCAAGAAAGTCCAGGTATTATTGACCGGCTTTCTGTGATCTGAAATGTGGTTGTTACGATCTTTAAAAGGCCTAGGGAATGTCGTACCATTAAAATATTAATATGCTGCTAGATGTGAAGTAGACTGGAAGAACATGTCAGACAAACTTTGAAAGAGAAATTACTGGATTTTATTTCACAAAAAGCCGAAGCCACTAGTTCCAGTAACAGGACAATGTATGCGCTATGTACAATGCAATAATAAAAAAAAAGATTGGGAAGACAAACAAAAAGTGGCGCCAAAGGAAAGAACATAATATAACAAAACAATCCTTAAGCTAACCCTAACCCTACGCAAAACAAAATGTGAAAAAGAAACCGCAATCTTCACGCACGCGGCGCTGACTAACCTAACTAAATAACAAAAGTACAAAGGTTGGCGCTCACCACTAACCTAGTGTGTATAACAGAGACAGACCTACGGGCAGTGTATACCGCGGCATACTGACCTACCGTTCGTCCTCCCAGATTATCGTAATGCCTCTATGATATGGAATAAACACACCAATACATCGCACTTCACTCAGTTCACTACACAGAGCTCAACATCACACTTCACTCAGTTCACTACACAGAGCTCAACATCACACATCACTCAGTTCACTACACAGAGCTCAACATCACATTTCACTCAGTTCACTACACAGAGCTCAACATCACACTTCACTCAGTTCACTACACAGAGCTCAACATCGCACATCACTCAGTTCACTACACAGAGCTCAACATCACATTTCACTCAGTTCACTACACAGAGCTCAACATCACACTTCACTCAGTTCACTACACAGAGCTCAACATCACACATCACTCAGTTCACTACACAGAGCTCAACATCGCACTTCACTCAGTTCACTACACAGAGCTCAACATCACACTTCACTCAGTTCACTACACAGAGCTCAACATCACACTTCACTCAGTTCACTACACAGAGCTCAACATCGCACTTCACTCAGTTCACTACACAGAGCTCAACATCGCACTTCACTCAGTTCACTACACAGAGCTCAACATCACACATCACTCAGTTCACTACACAGAGCTCAACATCACACTTCACTCAGTTCACTACACAGAGCTCAACATCACACATCACTCAGTTCACTACACAGAGCTCAACATCACACTTCACTCAGTTCACTACACAGAGCTCAACATCACACTTCACTCAGTTCACTACACAGAGCTCAACATCACACTTCACTCAGTTCACTACACAGAGCTCAACATCACACTTCACTCAGTTCACTACACAGAGCTCAACATCACACATCACTCAGTTCACTACACAGAGCTCAACATCACACTTCACTCAGTTCACTACACAGAGCTCAACATCACACTTCACTCAGTTCACTACACAGAGCTCAACATCGCACTTCACTCAGTTCACTACACAGAGCTCAACATCACACTTCACTCAGTTCACTACACAGAGCTCAACATCACACTTCACTCAGTTCACTACACAGAGCTCAACATCGCACTTCACTCAGTTCACTACACAGAGCTCAACATCACACTTCACTCAGTTCACTACACAGAGCTCAACATCACACATCACTCAGTTCACTACACAGAGCTCAACATCACACTTCACTCAGTTCACTACACAGAGCTCAACATCGCACATCACTCAGTTCACTACACAGAGCTCAACATCGCACATCACTCAGTTCACTACACAGAGCTCAACATCACACATCACTCAGTTCACTACACAGAGCTCAACATCGCACATCACTCAGTTCACTACACAGAGCTCAACATCACACATCACTCAGTTCACTACACAGAGCTCAACATCACACTTCACTCAGTTCACTACACAGAGCTCAACATCACACTTCACTCAGTTCACTACACAGAGCTCAACATCACACTTCACTCAGTTCACTACACAGAGCTCAACATCACACATCACTCAGTTCACTACACAGAGCTCAACATCACACATCACTCAGTTCACTACACAGAGCTCAACATCACACTTCACTCAGTTCACTACACAGAGCTCAACATCACACTTCACTCAGTTCACTACACAGAGCTCAACATCACACTTCACTCAGTTCACTACACAGAGCTCAACATCACACTTCACTCAGTTCACTAC